GCGCGCCGCGGAAGAGGAGAGTCGGAACAAGCCCAAGCTGGTGAGCGAGATGTGGGGCTGGGAGGGGGCAGGGGACGGTCTGAGCAAGAGGAGGAAGGCGGGGGAGGAGGAGGAGGCGCGGATGTCGTCTTGTTGCTTCCCCAGTAGAGAATCAGGGGCGAAGGGGCGTGCGGCTGGGCCTGGGGGTGCCCGGCTTTCAGGAGTTAAAGTCTTTTTTAAAAAATCAAAATCTCTTGAGGTTCCGCGGAGGTTTTTGGGTGCCTTTTGGAAGAGAGGTGACAGCTGGAGGGGGGCGTGCGGCGCGTCGCGGGCCTCGCTGTGCTAACGCACCGGGGGTGGTCGTTGGCTGGAGCTGGGAATTCCCATGCCTTTCCTGAAGGGAGTGATGCGGGAGGTGCGCGGCGGCGTGGGCCTTGGGCTATCCCTTTGGGGAGAGGGGCGGTGGCAACATTCTTCTGTAGGCACGACCTGTTGGTGTAACCTCTCCTGCTCACCTTTTGAGTGAAGGATCACAGGGTGGGTTGTTTTTTTTTTTTTCCTGTGTTGAAGCATCCAAAATTTTGGTGGTTGTGGTGCAAACGATGTGCTTCCCAAGGAGCTTCTGAATTGGTGTGAAACCAACTTACAAATTCGGAAATTGTTCAGTCTTTTGGAAAGATCTGACAAACTTTTGAGCACACAAACCCTCTGTAGGGCTGTAGAGTTTGTTCATTATGCCTGTACTTCTTGATTTAAAAGAAGATATTTCTACTTACAAGCCTGATAACTTGAAATGTAGGCACATTTCAAAGCTAGTGGGACTGTATTGTATCTTTAAAAATGCAGTAGCAGCAACACCAGTTAAAACCAAACACTGTCATATTAATTGTTTACTACTGTTACACTTATTTGTTTTACCTTTGAATCAACTCTTTAGCTTAGTTCATGGATGGATTTTCAAGATCAGCAATGTAGCATACACCTAAAACTTACGTGAATTTACCTATTGAATAGAATACTAGTTTCAAATTTCATTTAGACTGTGTAAGGTTTTTCACAGATAGTGCTAAACCTAAGTCAGTATGTAAGTGCTCCCACCTTGTGTTCCTTTCATCAGTATAGTGCAGCAGAGCCTTGGGCTGATCAGCCTGAGAACTGTGGGGTTTTTTTGTCACTGAAAACTAAGTTAGAATGTGTGTGGGGAAGATGTTGAATTTGTAATGTATGAGGAATTTAAAAAGCTATTGAAAGTGACAATTATTTTAAAAATTACTGAATAAAGTGTATTAAAAATGATCATGTATATCTTAGATACCCTATTTGGCTATCTTTTTTCTTATTTTGGTTTAGGGTGTTATTGGAAACAAACTCATACTTCCTTGCACAGGGTAAGTATAAACAAACTTCTTTATATAACAAGATGTTTGTTTATACTACCTTTACTATGTCCTAACTAAAGAAGCTAGGAAGGCTGCTTGGAGATGCCTGCAGGGAAGTGATATAAAAATCACACAGGGAAATGGAAGCTGTGGTCACGAATTTTTCGCCAGCAAAGGAGAATACTTTGTTCTGAAAGAAGTATGTAATTTAAAAAAATCAAAGTGAAATGAGCTCAAAATTGTATTGAACAGAACAAGTATTTCCATTGCATGTCCTTTTCAGTTATTCTAGAATCACTAGATTTTTTTATTACTTTTAGTGGGAAAAGTGCATGATGTTAATATTTGATTTCATATGCAGACATTTACTTTTGTTTCTTGGGGAGGGAGGTGATTACAGTCTAGCAGCAAGATGGCTCAGAGCATGTTGCTTTAACCAGATGTCTTCTGAAAGATAGGTTTGCCCTGAGATAAAGTGGTGATATAATTGAGTGAATGGGCTGAATGGGAAAGTAGATTTTTTTCATTCTGGACATGATGTACACAAGCAGTGCGTAAAACTGACAAGAAGAGGCGTTGACCTCTCGGGAGGAAAAGGGATGGGATTCAGGTGTGTTTTAAGTTGAGTCAGTGTGAGTGGACAGCCAGATTTATCAGTTACTGCCATAGGTTTGTAATGAAGGACAAGACTGTAATCAGGGAAAGGCTTCATCCATTGTATAGGGGAAGAATCTTTAATCTAAATTTTGATGGCTTTAAGTTTGAATGAGGAGTTGACTCTGCTGAGGCTAGCAATATCTTTACGTACTCAGAGAGAAACTTTACTTGTACCTCATTCCTGTTCTTGTCACTGTGCAAATAAGATGAAGGTATATTTGGGACTTATGTAAGAGAAGCCACAGTATTTGTGCAAGTGAGAAGTTGTCACTGAGTTTACACAAAGATTCTCAGAGTTTGGTGTGGAGACTTTCTTGGTTCTGCCTCACAACTTAGGATTCATCAGGTGTCAGCAGTTACAGAGATGAATCAACCTGCACTCTGTCAGTTTGTTGCGAATAATTCAAGAAACTTTCCCAGAACTTATTTCACACATCAAGTAGAGTGCTGAACAAGACCTTGGTGCGAGAGGGTGTTTTTTTTTAGTTGCTGGCATAGCAGCTGAAATTAGGTAACTCATTGGGAAGTCTAGGGGAATGATTTTTATATGATAGACTAAAAATGGCTGTAAATGACAGGGAGCTGGGAAAGCAGAAGTCATTATTTATGGGGAAGGGAGTCTCTAGAAGGAGGAGGTAGAGTTTTTTGTTTCCCCATCCTGTCTGTCTGAAAGTAAGAGGTGAGGAATGGTGCTTAGCCTGCAGAAAGCACAGTGGTGGTTTGTGCGCTGTGTGTGTCTTTTTGGTTTGTTTTGGTGGGTTTTTTTGGTGTTTGTGTTTAAGGACTATAGCCTGATCGATGGCATTTATTCCTTATTGACAGGGAGTAAGACTGGGCTATCAGGAGAGGACCTGTGCTGGAAATGAAAATGATGGTTTCAAGTATTTTTCTGTAAGATAATTGATGCATATTTATGCACACAAATAATTGAATATGGGCTATATTGGAACTACTAATTCAGTTTTTTCTGATTTGCATCAGTTTGAGTCATTCAAGTTTCATATAGTTTGTTGAATGTAACACAACTGCACAATGGGAATTTAGTTCCAGGTTTTATCCTAGTAGTGTGTAGACTGGAGTATTTTTCTACAATTTGTCTGTCTTATGGTGTGTCAAGACACACCATAGTTGCTGAAAGAGTTCTGATTTTGTATTTTGGATTTTTTTCTCATTTTTTTGCTGGCACAGGGACTGGAGATGTGAATTAGTGCCTGGTGATTTTGTCACTATTTTTGTTTACAATGAAATGAGCAGAAAAAAAATTAAATTGTTTTGGCAAACAATCATCTGATCTCATGCCAGCTGTGAGAATAGGCTGGCATGAGATGGCAGTGAGCAGTTGCATTCTTAACTCTGGCAATGTGCTTGTTTTGCTTGTTTAAAAGTATGCTTGTTATACTAGGGAAACAGGCTATATTAAGGTTGTCAGGGAGATTGCTGGGATTCCTATGTTTTGTTAATTCTTAACTTAGATGTGCTGTCTCTCCTTAGCACTTCAGTATCACATAGGAAGTATATAATTCTGTTTGATACCTAGGAAATCAGTAGGTCCTTGAAAGTGTCTGATTTGACATGTCTGTCATAGCTTAGCTGAAGCCAAATTCTTACCAACTTCATCTCTTTAGCTGAGAGGCTGAACACAGACTTTTTACAGAAGTTCATGGCAGGAGAATGGGAGACATATCTCATAAGGAGCGGGAGAGGTCACTGGAGATGTCATAACTGACTAAGGGGGTGTGGGGTGGAATATCATTTGAAGGATGATTAAGCATTGCTCTACCAGAGACACTGGAATCACCATCCTTGGAGGTTTTAAAGATTTGGAAACCTGGACAAAACCTTTAGCAGCCTGGTTTGAATTTGGTGTTGACCCTGCTTTTTGAGCTGGAGTTTAGACTAACCAGAGGAAGGAGTGAGCTCCTTTCAAATGTCTGTGATTCTATGAATCAGTGCTTTTAAAGAATACAGGATTTGTGGTGCTTCCTGACTATTGAAACACTGGTTAAGTAGAAGTTAATGTGGCTTTTTTTTTTTAGTTAGTTAAATACATCATGTTGGTTTAGTATTGGCGTACGTAGAAATAGTTCTGTGCATGTAGTGGCTAGTGCCACACTAAAATCTCCATTATCCCCAAGTTCACATTTATGTGGTAGTTGTTCAATAATAGATGCTCCAATTGGCTACAAACTAAATTTCTGAAAGGGGCTGTCTTCCGAGTGCGATGCTGCCTTTAAAAGTAGATTGGGGGAAAGATCTAGTATAATGTGAAAACCATATTATTAGGTGTAAGAGAGAGTTTATTTAATTGGAGAGGAAGTGGATTTAGTGATTCATCCAAGAAGGAGCAGCTCATACTTTGTTATATATGCAGAAATTGTTTATGCTTAATACTCAAGTCTCTTAAACCCTGTGAGCTTTGAGATGAATCAAAACCACTGAACTCAGCATCCTGACTAATGTGCCATAAAGTAGTGTCAAACAATGGAAGAAAAGCTGTTATCAATTAGCTTAAAAACAGAAGTAAACTTAATGTGCTTGGGAGAACTAGGTTTCCCAGCTATATTGCTCCACCTGTATCAGTGCGGGAGTTAAGGAGCGCTTTAAATTACCTGTCAGTAGTATAAGTCACTGTCAGACTGGCTATGTACTACAGAACCTACATTGCACTGCATACATGAGCCATGAGCCAGGGTGAGCAGAGATTTTTGGCAAACGAATAAAATGTATTACATTTGAGATCATGGTGTTTCTGAGTAAAATCATCCTGCAGAGGATTCTTTCTTCAAATGGATGCTGGAGCAAAAAATGGACTGAAATGCTTGTGTTTTAGAAGCCTCTTGGCCTCATTAGATCAAAGTCAAGATATTCCAGCAAGTGAAGTTAGTTAGGGTGTAACTGTTACCGAAGAGTAAAATTAATGTCTTGGGAAAATTTGGTTCTGTTGCTTAGAAGTACACTGATTAAGCACTACAACTGATATGGCAGAGTACGGCATGCCTGGTGCTGAGGTTTAGGTAAATGCTTTAGTTTTAATGTGAATTGATACTGACACTGTTTAAATGAGGTGATAGATGCAGTGATAAGCCTATCTGCTTGTGGTAATTAAACTTCCTGAACTACTGCTTGTAAGACAAAACTGTAGAGCTGTTCTGTACGATGCAGGAAGCTTTGCAAACAAAGCAGATTCCACCTAAGCAATGTGAAAGACAATTACAGTGAGAAC